GAAATCAGTATGGAGATACCTCAAAGAACTAGGACTGGAAGTCCCATTTGACCCCGCTATTCCCTTGCTGGGTATCTTTCCCAAAGAATTAAAAGAATCATACCACAGTGATATATATGCACCCATGTTCACAGCAGCACAATTCGTAATAGCTAAAACTTGGAAGCAGCCCAAATGCCCATCAACTGGAGACTGGATAAAGAAAATGTGTTTTTTTTTTCATAAAATGGAGTACTACTCGGCCATAAAAATTGAGAAATTCAGAGACATTTATAGCTAAATGGAAGTACATTGAGGCAGTACTCTTAAGTGAAATAAATAGGACACACATGTGTAAATACCAAATAATTTCTCTAGGGTGAGAAACGGGAAGTGTAAGTAAGGACTAAAAGGTATAATAGATAATGTGAAATAGGAAAAGGGGCAAAGGGGAAGGGGAAGTGGGCATAGTAGGGAAATGGAAAGGTTATGGAATCAATATGAGAAAATGAAAAAATGGAAACAAAGTCTTTGCAAATAGGGAGGGATGGAGGGGTTGAAAGGAGGGCAGGGGAAGGGGAAAAAAAAGAAAATAACTAACTAACTATGGGGAGAATTCACAGGCCAAGTTTTCCATTTAACAAGACTTACCAATGTGAAATATCAACTTCTTTTACAAATGAGACTTACTTTTCCAACTATTGTGTAGTGAAAAGATCAGGGGACTAGAGACAAATATCATGAGTCTAGTATCAGTTCTTTTACTTAGTGCCTGTGTGCTATCCCGTTTCTTTAGTCACAAAATTTGGGGGACTGACAAAATAATCTGAGTTGTCTTCTCGGTCTGTCATTCTGTAATAGTCTATGATACAATTAATGCATAAAATTCTTGAGGGGCTGTGACTTAAACTTTTTCTCTACCCTGGACAGCATTTATCATGTCCATTGAGTATCTTCTGATAGATTTTTAAAAGCCAAAGAGATCTAGCACATTCTTTGATAAATCAATGCTAATCTTTTTTTCCTTGCTTGGAATTTGGGAATAACAAACCTCTCACAATTCTCACAAACTTACCCCACTCGAACGCTCCCAAAGATTTCCACTTAGATCTCGGATCCGTTCTTGCCTATGTGCACATTCCAGACTCTGAGGTTTGCTGGCATTATAAATAAATATGGCAAGGAGGACTGAAGGGGCTTCCAAGAAAAACTCCAAGGAGGGCCTGAAGTCAAAGACCAGGACAGACACTGCAGTGATGATGACAGTGGTAACCTGGGCCATTAAGACATGGAACATATTATCCAGGAACTTCAGAATGAAAGCCACTGAAAGGCCCTGAAATGCAGTTACAAAAATAAGGGCTACTGAAAACACATTGTGACCATAAAAAAATCCACAGTTCTTAATCTGATTACGGTTACTGTTCTGAAGGCCCAGTGTCAGCCCATTAAAAAGAATGCCAAAGAAATAGAGTTTGCTGTTCTGTATGAAGATGCTTTCAGTGAGATGATTCCTTTCCTTCAGTATCTTTTCATTATAGATATTGGCCATTGAAGAAATAAAACACTGTACTATAATCAGTATATGGCCCAAGCCAAGACGGATGTGAGTAAAAACTCTGGCTGTGGTATTATTCCATTTATCTTCAGGAAAAGTCCACTCCTTTGCTGTGCAATTTTTTCCAGGACATTCACTTCTGAAATGAAGGCAGGAATTGGATGGGCTGAAGAAAGCATCATGATGAAAACCATGTCCTGCCAGGTTATGCTGTGAAGTTTTAGTCCCAGCAGTTAGGGCCACAATAGAAAAAAATAGAATCAGAAGGGAAGACCACTGTATCCAGTTTAGATGCTGCCTGTCCAAAGACAAAAATACAAGATTTTATTCTTTTTCCTCCCCGTATCAACTCATTTTACTGAAAATTCTGAAATTTGAGTACTTGGTAGAATAAACCACACCCAGTTTTTGTTAGCCTTCCCCACAATTCAAGTTCACAGGAAAGTTGGTGGTACCTCTGTGTCCCAAACTTGCCATTTTATTCATTTTTATAACTGTCTTTTAAAGTCATTCCATCATTTCTCCTCTCTTTAGGTTTTCTTTCAACCTGTAGATTTAAACTTCTTCCCTATTTCTACAGCTATCTTGGACCTGCTGGTACAATTATTTATTGTGCTACAATGTGTTACAGCAGTGATTCTCAGGCTGGTTTCCAAGAACCAGAAAGAATGTAGATGAGCTTCAAAAATCTTCTATATAGTTTAATTTCCTCCTACAGAAAAAAATCAAAGCTTCACAGGTTTGCCCGACAAATTTTTGAGGAAGCTAGCTCCTGGATCAAAGGCCTAATCATAAAGCAGCATACCATAAACTGCTGACTGATAAGGCAAGAAAAAATGGTATTTTGGATACTTTTTCAGATTTCAATGCTCTAACAGTAGCTTATGTATTTACTTATTTTGCTTAACAATACAGTTGTGAGATACAGAGGATATATATTATTCCATTTTGCTGATTCATTCAGTTCAACAGAAATTAGTAAGTAGCTTCTGTGTGCTGGCAAATGGGGACATAAAGAAGACTCAATTTTCCTCTTGAGAGAATTTATATACTTTAATAAGGAGAGAGCTACGAAATTATGACAGAATGTGTGAGAAGTGCTACATGGAACAACTGGAGTACACTAAGGAAAGAACATTTTAATGAAGTCAGGTACTGTTTCAAAGAGGAAACAGCATGAATTGAAAGATGAAAAATAAATTGAAGTTTCCTATGTAAAAAGGCAGCTCGTCATATAGCCGGGCAGTAAGTGTCTATGTAAAAGTAAAAAGAATGTACAATATTCAGAAGAGAGGAGTATCTCTTTCAGGTTGGGGCAGTCTGGGAGGTCTCTGGAAAGAAAAAAATTTGGACATTTAAAGATCAATCAGGGAGTCCCACAGAACACGCTGGCCGAATCAGCCCGCTGCAGACAGGCAGGTCTGTGCACGCCCTGCCGAGGTCCTGAGTCGAGTGGAAGATGCTGAATCACACCGCTACAGACAGGCAGCCACCTGGTTCCACACTACAAAGACACAGAGGACACCAGACCACCAGACCAAGGTACTGAGTCCC